AATAAAAGTAGATGTTTCTTTAAACACATTTGCTGCAAATAGGTCCAGCAGGAGAACAGGTGGGGGGATCAGGGTGAAATTCAAATCCCGAGGGCAGAGAAGGACACCGCATGACATTAACAACCACGGCGCCTTTTTTACGCATTTAGATGAAGCATATGTTGACATGCTGTCCAAATTCACCTTAGACAGAATATATGTATATCTATATATACATGTAGTGTGAAAACGCCTACCTTGATCGCTTTGATTTCTGTCTTCATAGGTTTGATTGTCGACGTTAGTAAAGTTGCGTTGTACTGCTCGGCGCCTTCTCCACGTGCCATCTTAGTCCGATAAAATGATTAATATAAGTCCAATCTGATTAAATGATTTAGATTTTATTTTTTATTTAAAAGCTCTTCCTCACAGCTGCATCCTGGTAGCTGTTTGACTCCACTCTACGGTTAGATGTCCACCTCATTCATTCTTTGCGGCGACGTCACGAAGTCACGCATATCGAATGTTTGAAGGTATGGCAAGACGCTTTACCGCAAAATCAAGTTACCATTTCTGATCACTTGCATCCCCCTTACAAATAGGGATGGTCAGAATTCTGAGATTAAAGTCAGAATTCTGAGAAAAAAGTCAGAATTCTGACTTTTTTTCCCATTATTGAGAAATTACACAAACAAAGAATCCTACATTTGTTGATATATTTTTTTTATTATAATTTATGTATGTATTATTTAAATACCAGATAGAAAATGGTGTATCATAGGAGATTTTTTTAAAGAATTCAAACAAGGCGAATCTAAATCTATGACACTACATGAGTTCTGGATAGAACACATTTACAAAGAAGGTTATCTTAAACACAAAACATATATATATATATATATATATATATATATATATATATATATATATATATATATATATATATATATATATATATATATATATAAGAAATAATTATTGCCTTGTTTTGGTTTGTCCCCCAACAAATAGCATGCTTTAGAGTCTGTAAAATCCAGACAGATCCCTCCCAATTGTTTAGTTTAGTTAAATTTTGATTAATCCTGATTTATCCAATCATTCATCTCAGCTCTAAATCACAACCTTATATAGTAATACATGGATAATTAATATAACTTGGAATTTAATTTAGCACATGACATCAGAGATGTATTGGGGTTGGACAGCTGCACCTAGGATAAGTCAACCCCTTCATGAAAAGCATCTTTATTACTTACTATAGCACCTTTTTGCTATCACTATCTCCTCCAAACTGGAAATTTGGAGAATTAACCCACTTTTTGGGGTAAAAAAATCTCAGTTCAGTTCTCCAGTACCCCTTTTCTAGTCCAACTATAGTGTCCAGCTAGTGCTTTTTTACAATTTGTCCCTCTGTCTGTCACATTGTTCTTTTTTTAAACACTAAAACAATTGCTCACGTTTGCAACAAACTTAGAGCAGTTTAAAAAGCTTAGTAAAACACAAACAAATATTAATTTTTTGTTCTGTTGATCCAATAACTAATGCAATGCATTCAAATTACTTGCAAATGTTCAACTGACTGACCCACAGAACGTTTTGGTGGTATTAGATACTGAAGTATAGAAGGGAGTAACAGACCAAAGTGAAGTCTTAAAAAAAAAAAAAAACCTTCACTTGGTTCAAAGTATTTGTGGTTTTGTGATGCTCTGGGACTACATCACTTCTTCTGAGGCAGAAAACTTGCAGTTTATAGAGGGACGGTTGCATTTATTTGAGTAATAAAATCCTGGGAAAGGAAGCTGAGGTCCGACTGGATGTACAAACATGAAAGATGATCCAGGGGTGTATCTTAAAAACTGCAAAGGGTTTGTTTCAGAAGTTGCCAGATTTCAGTACACTGCCTATAGTAAATCGTAAAATGTTTTTGGATTATTTTTAACATTTCATGGCTAAATGTTTACATTTAAAATGGGAAATTCTCCTAAAACAATTATTCTTTCATTACCTATCATGTCAACTGTAAATGGAGAACATGTACTCATCTGGGGCTGAAAGCAAATTACACATTATTAGAAATAAAGTGAGGTTTTCTTTTGTCAGTGAAAGAAAAACATTCAGGATGTTTGATTTGTTATTATTGTTATTTTTGATGAGACAAGGACACTCTAGAAGTTTAAAATGCTTTGTTTGGATTTTCAAGAAGTTGAATAGATTTTTAAATTGTTCTTGATATTTTTTAATAAACTAGCTTGCCATACTTTGCAGAATTTTTTTATTTATATATTTTTAGAGTCACGATTTGAGAGCCATTAAAATTCTAAGTCCTTCATGAATATCAAAAGCACATATCTTTACATTTACGTTGATCGTATCTCAAGATGCTTTCAGAGCCACATAAATGCTAACGTATATTTTTTATATGTTCTTGCTTTAATTTTATGAAGTTAGGTAAATTATTTTAAGACTGCCACTGTGAAAACCACTTTCAAAGAAATGACAGATATCTAGTTCCTTTTACTTTTTTGCACTTCCCATCATTAGATGTACAATTGCATAGACTCAAATACTCACTGGGTATTTTTGCTCTTTTTACTTTATTTTTGAAATAGAAACAAACAATTCTTTGAAATCATGTCCTTTTCTTTTAGTTAAAGAGTCAGTGTCGCATTTGTGGACATCAAAATTAGACAGAAAGAAATTTAAAATAACTCAGAAAGAGATGCAGGTTAGGATGAGTCCAGAAACTGTTGTGGTTTTTCTTTTATCATGTTCTAGTTTTCTTTCGCAGACCGGTGATCTAAAGCAAAACTAAGCAAACGTGGTTAGCTGAGTATAATAAGCTGCCTACGTGATAAACAATAACCTCAAACATTTTCCCCTACAGATTTGCTTGCAGTAGAGCTGATATAAAAGGGCGTCATATTTCAATAAGGAGCATAATATGTGTATGATCCTGACAGGCCCAAGAGCGGTTCCACACGCTTTTGATCTAATAAGCCTTTTATTTGCTCTGTTCAAATTTACTTAATGTGTCTTATAGATGGTAAGGAACACTTATATTATGACTATTTGCATAGTTTTTTTTTACCTGCTTTTGAAATGTTACTTTTTAAAATCATGTCTGTTGCATGGGTTTTGACATCATTCTGTTAAATGAAGCCTAGGTGGAAGTTCAAATGAATAAACTGGATCATTTACCCTCATGCAATCAGAGGCTCATTCTTCTGATAAGCAGCCAATTAGCATTCAACCGCACCTCCTCATAATTCCATCAACATCCAGAGTCAAGCTGAAAAGACCTTCAGATCAACAGCTCAACCTGCTACCCAACAAACATCTGAGTTGGATCACATGTCAGACTTTGATTCTGATGATCCTGATTCAACCCTTCTCCATTCCCTTCTTCACCATCTTCGCAAGCTCCATCTGGCTCCTTCTCCATGCTGCTGCCTTGCCCCTATTGAATTAATTCATTGGAGTCAGTCTGCTTTCAAAAGGCATACCCAGCCGACCTGGCAGATGACCACCATGTTGAGTTTGGCTCTGCCAGAGATTTCTTCCCAAGGGGAGTTTTTGTCTCTACTGTTGCTCTATGCTTGCTCATCATGGAGGTTCATACGAACCTGTACCTTGTTCCAGCTACCATCCCTGTTCTCATTCAGCATCTTATACATATAATCCCAACTAAATTTTACTGTTAATTAACCACATAAAGGCCTGAGCGCAAAAGTCTTACAATATTGTTAGAATAAAACAGGTTGAACTGGCAGTTACTTTATATATATTTTCCGTTTTTTAAACATGAATAAACATTTTCTTATTAATAACCTCATGGTATTTTTCAATGTTTTTTTTTTTTACTTTCATAAAGTTGACTTTTTGTTCTCTATTGTGCAACTAAAAGAGTTTTGTTCTTTTCATGTTACTTAGTCTTCTGTGGAAGGTCTTTTGTCTACCTGTTTTTGCCATTGCTGCAATTAAATTCCCCCACTGAGGGGAAAGCCTTTTCTTATATATACATATTTTTTTACTTATTAGGTAAAGATAGGAAATAAATAAGGCCATTCACACTCGCTAAGGTAGTTGAAGGAACATGAGAAATGGATAGAGAAATATTTGAAAAGCAGGGGGGTAAAAACAATGTTGATTAAGTTGAGGTTACATTTAACCAAGGTAATTTGTAGCATGCTTTGTTTACTATGTCAATGTATCAAGCAAGAAATATACA